AAATTCTTTCTTTGAGATACCCTGGAGAGACAAAAATACTATTATATCCTTATTTGTAATTTTTGCCCAACTGCATTCAACATTTTGCCAACTACATTCAGCACAATAGCCAACTGCATTTAGCATTTTTGGATCTGCATTTATCATTTTTTCAGATTTTTTAATAAAAAATATATATATTTTTATTTATTTTTAATTTATTTTTAATTTAAATTTAATTTTTTTAAAATATTTTTTTTAATAAGTTCCCTGTATAGAAATTGACTATAGTATAGGACAACCAACTGTATTTAGTATTTTTGGATCTGCATTTATCATTTTTCATATTTTTTAATAATATATATATATATATATATATATATATATATTTTTTTTTTAATTTTATTTTTTTTTTAATATTTTTTTTAATAAGTTCCCTGTACAGAAATTGACTATAGTATAGCACATGTTCTATAATCACGTATAGTTATATATATAATCATGTACCTTCTTTTTATTCCAAAGTTTATATATTGTCCTGTACCTTCTCTTCACCCAGAGTTATATATATTCATGTATATTTATATATAGTCGACCGTTGGTTATATACAAAAAAGAATTTCATCGACACCAACAAAAATCACAATTTGAATCTTGATATTATAAATCAACTTGTACAAATATAGACCGAAATACACAATCACATGCATATGTTCTTCAACAAAGAACAAATCATCATCATCAATTAGTACCGAACAAAAAATTAGAAAAATACATTCATCAACGTCATTATACATCAGAAAAAACACATACTTTATATATAACTATATATTACTACATGTTATTACACGTGACTATATATGACTATATATATATGACTACATGTGACTATATATGACTATATGTATATAGGGCTGGCAATCGGGCCATGTGAGCCGAGCTTGAGTCGGCTCAAGCTCACATACCATCGGGCCTCGTTATTATAGGCTCAAGCTCCATGTCATCGGGCCTCATTAGAATAGGCTCAAGCTCGGCTCATGTATTTTTTCGGGTTTCTGGTTTATATCGGGCCCCATTACTATATAATTGTAATGAGTAAATTTTTTTATAAAAATAAGTGATAAACAAGATTTACCTCCATTGAACCTAATAAAAAAAACCTAAACGATCATTGAAAGTTATTGGAAAAAACTTGAAAATAAAACCGAAAGAAGTAAAAAAAGATTAGTAACTCTTATTATTGAAAACATTTTATATTCTCAAATCTCGGTGAGATGTTGCATTTGATTCTTATTTAACTTATTTCCACCGTCACTACTTAATTCCTTTTATTTTGACTTTTTTCTTTGCAAAATCAAATAATCTTCATAACTTGTATGTTGAGTCATAGTATTAAAATAATAGATATATTATATATTTTAGTATTATCCTAATCGGTCAGGCCTTATTCAGGTTGAGCCATAGTAGACTCAAACTCGGCTCATAATAAATAAATCGGGTTTAGTAAAATGGCTCAAACTCAGCCCGGCTCACTAAAAAGTAGGCTCGGCTCAAATATAATTGGGCCGAGCCATCGAGCTTCGGTTAGGCCCGGCTCAATTGCCGGTCCTATATGTATATGACCACATGTGCCTATATATGACTACATGTATATGACCACATGTGACTAGCTATATATGACTACATGTATATGACCACACGTGACTATATATGAATGACTACATGTATATGACTACATGTGACTATAGAAACTACAAAAAAAAACATACGAATTTATTAAAACATTATTTACAACATATTATTCTGTAAAGCATAGCTTCAGTATAATCTCAGCATGATAGCCCATGTTTTATGATTCAAAAAAAATGAAAAAATTAAGTCAATAAGCCAATAAATCATTAGAACCAATAGGATTCCTAAACTTATCTTTGTCACCGAACTCCTCAAACGAGTGGACCAAGTTTTGAAGCCTGACAACGCATAAAAAAGTAAAAATGGCAAGAGATAGCTCTCGCACTTTCATACATCCAACTATTCTCAAAATTCATTTATTTATTATATATATACACGCCCACACACATGTCTGTGTGTGTATTGTACCTGGAATTACGGTGGGTCGTTGCTTTCTTTTGTTCGTGCTGCCATTTTTTAAGAAGGGCTGGGAGGAGTTAATATTGCTGCCCAACGTTGGTGAAGGAAGAAAAAGTGGAGCGGCGGGGAGCGGAGGGGAGCGGCGGAGAGAGACATCATCGACGGTGGAATAAGAGAGGGAGCAAAACGGTGAAAGAAGACAGGGAGCAGAACGGTGGTTTCTAGAAGGAGAGAAGAGGGAGGGCTAATTTTCAAATCAGATCTAGGGTTTAGTGAATTCCATGGTTTTATTTCACAAAATCTACCTATAATCACAATCACTATGCCTCATGGGGTCTATCAAATTAAGATTTAATTTTGAGTTTTTGACTAGGACAAAAAAAAAATTGACCTACTCATATATATTTTCAAAACTAGGGGGTTATCACTCATTTACCCATATATATATATATATATATATATATATATATATATATATATATATATATATATATATATATATATGGCCGTGAGTTAGGGTTAGGATAAATATTAAGTATTTTATAAGTGTAGGTAATTATCTTTCCTAGTTAGACTAGGACTCTAGGATTTTCTTATATTTAAATAGTCGTCTTGTGCTAGGGTTTTAGGAATGAAGAGAAATAATAAATAAGAGTTTTCTTACGTTTCGTAAAAAAATCTTATGAAGAGTTTTCTTACGTTTCGTAAAGAAATCTTATGATACTCAAGAGATCGTATCAATTGGTATCAGAGCGAAGTTGCGA